GATGTGAGTTATAGCAGCACTTATTTATAGATAAGAATTTTCGATTATGAATGAAGTCGAATTATGAAATTTTATAAACACAATTTTAAATTATAACGTTACCGTACCTTAGATTTCTGAAAAAATTAAAAATATTTTTCTAACAGGAAACAAATAATGTTTCTGCATAAAATATCTTTGTCTAATCATCTCCGATTTCAAATTTTTTAATATTACACCAAATAGAAATTTCATTAATAATTTTCTTTTGGTCACTGTTCTTTATTCTTCCTTACTGTTTTTTATTTTTATATTTTTGTTATTTTATTTTTATTATTTCATTTTTATTAGTTTATTTTTACTTTTTATTTATTTTGCTATTTAAAAATTGTTCCCCACTTAGAGAATAATTTTTCAATGCTTACATAATCAGATTAGTTAAAGTTAGTTTGTAGTTATCATCATCATGGAGATAGAAATAGTAACGACAAACTAATTTTATTTTTCAAATTTAAATTATATTTCATGCACATGAACATTTTATTGTTTAATGCAATAAACATTTTATCACGATTTTCAGGTACTTATAAGAATTTTGAAAATATTTATACCTGAAATTTGCATTGAAAAAAGAAAAACGAAGATTCTAACATTGCTCTAAAATTAAATTTTTGAATGCTACTCATAATGCTTTGAATGCGCGTGTACAAAATATCATAATTCTACTACTTTCTTATAAATAATTTAAAGCTAAATGATTAAAAAAATGTAAAATATTTTCTTTAAAAAATGATAACATTTATAAGATAAGAAAAAAAAAACAATCTTATATTATAGCTAAGAAAACTTGGGATACATGAATATAATTTAATAAATGAAGATTATTTAAGTCTGTCAAGAGGTTGGCGACCGTAATAGTGTTTTTTTATTATGTCTAGAACTACCGTAAAATGTCTGGAAAAAAACATTGAACTGATAAGGGAGACACTGAACTTTTTCTATCAAAATTAATTTATTCTAAACAAAGTATGTTAATATCAGTCTGTATGGACAAGAATTCGCGTTATTTTTTAAAAGCAAACAATTCATATATGAATTTCATTTCATAGAGATTGAGAAACGTTATTCATACATTAAAAAGTTAAGTTTTCAAAAACTATGAGTAAGTACATAAAGTTTTTAAATTCTATTAAGTACTATTATTACTATTGCATCTATTCATTAATTAATATAGAATTAATTTAGAAAGTCAGTTTAACTGTTGTAATTATTTAGAAAAGAAAATAAACTTCTAAAAATAAAACAATTTTAATCAGTAACAATACATCATAATTGGCATTGTTAATGTCAATTAATCTCTATAACTATTTTTATTATCTTGGTTTTGATAATAAAAGCTTTTATGTCGTTCTTAATTTGTTTATTTATTTTTTTATTATTATTTTAACGATGAAATTTTTTTTTCTAAACATAAAATTGTAGAATTACATTAATTTGCACAAATATAGTACTATTTGTTTTCCTATTTTATTGAATTAAAATTTTGAATAAGAATAAAACAAAAGATGAAAACCAGCTTCATACAAATTAATTGTTTTTAAATTATATAGAATAGCTAGTATATTCGCTCATAAAATAAGATAACTTTTAAACATAAAACAAGAGAAGTGAATAGATTAGCATTGCTTATGTCACACAAATATACCTACTCATTTATTTATCTTGGTTTTGTTTTGATAACAGAAGTTACTTTATGGAGAGGGGAGAAATTAATTACTTTCTAAATATAAATAGATAGCCTGCAGTGTAAATGTCATCTAACTATAATTTTTCACTATTTAATAAATTTGAAATCATAAACAAGAACTTCTTTTGAGATATAAATACACGTCTAAGCATTAAAGAAAAGATAATTTAAAAAGTCTAACATTTAAGTGTCATATAAACAAAACAATTTTTTAAAATTGATTCTGTTTTTTAAACAAGACGAAAATTTTTTTAAAAAAATAATCATCAAATATACTTAATTCGATTTTGACTAAGAAATAAATATTGAAGCATAAAATGAACGAAAAATAACTGAGTAAGTAAGACTGTACTATAATATCAGGGGTCTGTTTAGAAGAAATTTGGGTCCGTTAACGGACCCTTCACAANAATTTAAAAAGTTAACATTTAAGTGTCATATAAACAAAACAATTTTTTAAAATTGATTCTGTTTTTTAAACAAGACGAAAAACTTTTTAAAAAAAATAATCATCAAATATACTTAATTCGATTTTGACTAAGAAATAAACATTGAAGCATAAAATGAAAGAAAAATAACTGAGTAAGTAAGAGTGTACTATAATATCATAAACATAATTACAGTTTTAATCACTTTCAAAACAAAATTTTAAATAGTATCTTTATAAATAAAACATACGAAGTCATTTTTATTCATGCAGAAATACTGTTACATTATTTATTCATCATTGTCATTGCTATACCATTTATTAGGTTAAATTTGCTCTTCAACTTTTTATTTTATGTGTGCATGTTTCAGCTATTTATTAAATGATAATAAATAGTAGTAAATTCAAGTACATTATAAGAACTATAATTATGAAAAACAGAATTTCCGGTAAACTGTTACCATACGAAGGGAAAATAAGTTGTTTAAATACTGCATATTTTGGTTTACAATAAAGGTAAACCAAATATACCATACCATACAAGAATGGAAATTTTACTAGATTTTTAGTTTTAACAATATTAACTATTGAAACTAATTGTACAACAGCAAGTAAATATTATTTTTGTTACTCTTGTATTAAAATATTTTTGTTAATACTTGTTTTAATTTTTGTTTGCAAATACCTTTTTTTTTTTAAATTAATAAGTAATCGATAAATATATTTTAAAAACTGTGAATAAAATTTCACTTTACAATATTGGAAGAGGTAAATAAGTTATTAGTATAAGAAGTAAAAAAAGATTTGTTCAAATCAATAGATAATCTACTTCCACATAAAGCAAATCACAATTCTTTAGTGAAAGAAATCCTTCAAGGAAGTTTAAAAGTTCTTAATAGTTATGGTTAATGAATATATCTGAGAGAAATACGTAATTTAATAATTAAAAAAGGCTTTAAGTAGCATTTTAGACAATTTGAAAACTAATTGGCATTTTGAATAATTTAAAAATTAAGTAACATTTTGTCTCCAGAAAACATAGCAACCACAGGAACCTTTTTCCCTTTAAAAGAAAAATGGGTCTTATTTAGTGATCAAGCAGAAACATTTAGGTTATGTTCATACCGCTAAGAAAAAAAAACTTCAATTCTAGTTTTTAAATCCAATTCGCTATTTTCTAGAACTAAGTGCTTTTATTGTATTCAAAGAAACGTAACAACTAAAATCAAAAATATGTCTAAAGAAACTCACAAATACAAATTAAAGTGTATTGGCGAAATGTTTGTAAAATGATTGAATCTTGAATTGAATTGCATGATTAATTTACATTTATATATAAAAAAAATTCTAAGTTTACACAAAAAAAGTTTTAATTTGCACTTAAAATGTAAAATATTAGAGTATTTTATTACACGGAGTTTACAAAGGAAATAATTTCTAAATTACTATAATTAATGTTACTGCTAACATAAGTAAAAAGCGATCGCTTTTAAGTTTAGTAACTTATCTATTCTAGAAAAATTCGGATCAAATTTTGGCTATGGAACAATATATATTCAAATGATCAACACAATAAATATTATTTTCGGGAAATAATAATCTTGCCTGTTTCATGAAGTAGTTAGAGGATCGGTGTTGGTTGCTGCTAACTTATAAGAATTGCTTTTAAAATAAGTTGGTAATCTAATAAATAAAAAAAAAACTGGAATAAATTAATGTGCAAAACGTAGCATGTTCAGATGATCAATATAATATCATTCGCGATGGAACATAATCCTAGTGTTGCAACTGACAATATTTTTGAGAGTTAGTTTAAAATTGCAATAAGTTTAAAATTGCAACTAACCAGTATTATTTTAGATAAATCATAATCTTCAATGGTTTATGAAACAATTAAATGTTCAGACAGATTTTTTGCATAAAATAATGCTTGCTTTTAAAACAAGTGATCTGTTCGAGGGAAAAAAATTGGAATAAATTTCGGCTGGAAAATATATTTTTTTTCAAATGATTTACGAAATATTAATTAACAAAACACAATATTAATATTCTAACTAGCCAATATTTGTGATAAATCACAATCTTAAATGGTTTATGAAACAATCAAATGTTCAAAGAGGGTAACTATTTTACATAAAAATAACGGTTGCAAACAAGTAATCTACTCAAAAAGAAATCAGATTAAATTTCAACTAATAAACATATTAGAATCCTAATATAAGTTTAAAATTGCAACTAGATAATACTATTTTAGAGAAATCATTATCTTTAATGATTTTTAAAAACCAATTAAATTCTCAGAGTACGTAACTATTTACATAAAATAGTATTTGATTTTGAAACAAGCAATCTATTCGGGAAAAAAAATAGGATTGCATTTCAGCTGCAAAACATATTATTTTCAGATGATCAACAAAATATTATTTTCGGTGAATTATAATCCATGTTAAATACTGTAACTAACCAACATTATTTTGGATAAATCATAATCTTCAATAGCTTATGAAACAATTAAATGCTCTGAGTAGATAACTATTTACATAAAATAATACTTATTTTTTAACAAGTAATATATTAAAAAAATTGAATTAAATTTTAGCTAAAAAACATTATTTTCAGATGATCAACATAATATTATTTTCGGTGAATCATAATCTAAGTATAATATTGCAACTATTTTTATTATCGATGAATCATAATCAAAGTATAATATTGAAACTCTTATCCTTATCGGTGAATCATAATCTGAATGTAATATTGCAATTATTTTTATTATGGATGAATCTTAATCCCAGTACAATATTGTAACTAAATATTATTTTCATTTAAATAAATATTGCAACTAACCTGTCCTTCTGTTCTGCAGCTCTGTCACGTTGTCGTCTGTTTTTGAACCAATTGCTGACTTGCGTCGTAGTAAGTCCAGTCGCTTCAGCAAGTTCTCTTTTCTCTCTAGGGGATGGATATGGATTTTGATGATACCATTCCCTTAAAATATTCCTAGATTTCTCCTTAAAACAATAACTCGTTTCTTCACCGTCCCATATAGTCCTCGGCAACGGGAACTTCCTCCTCACGCGATATTTCCCAACGGCACCAAGTGGTCGACCCCTCTGTCGCTCGGCCTCGATATAGTGGGCCTTCAACCACAATGTCTGTAACTTAGGATGAGAGTTTGGCGTGAAAGGGTGGCTTTCCAAAATCCTGTAAAGTTCTTTGAAATTACCACGGTGGAACGCTACCAGAGCTTTGGCTTTCAGTACACTTTCATTTCTTTGTAGCTGGTCACAAGCCGGTAATGACCATAAGAATCTGCCCAATCTTTCAATGTTCCCAGACTGCTGAAGTACTTCGCAGACACATGCGACTTGTTCCTGTGTGAAACCGAAAGACGGGAGATTGTTGTTGCTGTTGGGGGACCCCGCGTTATCGGTCATTTCGTTCCCGACAATCATGAGTATGTTTTGTCTTCCTTTTTTTTTATTTCTTCTCAAAACGTCTGGTTGAAATCAATGAACTTTTTAAAATGTAACTGATTAGTTAAATTTTTTGTTTTGTTTGTTTAACTATTTTGAATCGCGTCGAGGGAACAGTTTGGGAGGAAGCATCTTCACTCAACTCTTCGTCGCGTGTTGTTGAGATGCCGCGATTTTTTTAGAGAAGGTTACCGATTTGCAACATCTTCCCACTTGCCTCTCGTGTCCCCGAACGTCCCGCCAAGTTTCGCCAAGGGAGGCATCCCAAGGAAGAGTTGGATGATGGGCGGAGACTAAACGGGGAAACCAAGTGGAAATACGAGGGATTCAATTCTTTTCGTCAGTTTATTTTGACGAAAGAAAGCAAAATGAATAAATATTTTTTTAAAATTCTTTCTAAAATTTTTCGCTAATTACTATTTTGTTTTGCATTCCCATTTAATATATTTATTATAATTGAGTAATTAATTGAATCTATAATTTATATTGATATTTTATTCAATGAGTATTTATTTGGAATTTTCTTTTTTTAATAATTTTTATTTTATTGTGTTGACTTGAGTGTTTACTATAAAAATATATAGTTATTTTTTAAATATTTAAATTATTAAAGAATTTCAAACGTTAACGTGAGCATTTTAACATTGTTAACTTAAAGTTTTATTTATTATTATTTTTTTTCAATCAGAGTTAGAAAGAATGACGAACTCGTTGTGATAAGTATAAAAGAATGTTAAAATGTATGCAAGTATTTCAGTACAATTTCCTAAATACTATGCAGTAATTTACTTCAATTTTTATTTTCCAACTGTGTTTGAAGTTCAAATATTTCTGAGTTTATAGTTGTTTTTAAATGACAATAACTTAAGCTTATACTTACATTTAATATTATAATTATTTTATTGTTGAAAAAACTAGATTTTGTTATTATTTAGTATTTTATCACTAAATATTATTTCATTTCTCATTTAAGTCAAATTCTCATAACAATAAAACTAAAATTTACTGTTAAATATGCTCACATCACAGCTCAGTGATTTTAACGATTTTAACAGCATTTGTAAAGCAAATAAGTTATAAATATGTTATCCTTTAATTATTTTAAACTTATTGATAATTTATCTTCTTTAGTTGCAGAGACCGGATAGTCACATAAATAAATCGAAATGATAAGGACATCGAAAACAAAATATTTATTAAGAGAGAATAAAATTGTAAAATTTTCCAAAATTTGAGTTTTATTTCTACACATTTCAACAGTATGCAAATTTAAGAAATTTCTCTTAAAAGTAAAATTTTTATATTAAGAAATATATGAGATTAAGACACTTTTTAAAACAGCTCTCTAATAGTGAAATACTACTTTAAATAGTTATGATAGTTTTAATAGTTATGAATAGTTTAATAGTTCCAAGTTATGAGATACATAATGAAAGAAACGGAAATTTTTTTAAATTTTCACTAATTTGAATTAAATTGTTACAAAATGTAAATTATTACATACATAACTTTCCATTTGAAGTAGTAATTTTTTTATTGGTCTTTTAGTTTTTAATAAATGAATTTAAACATATAAAAAAAAATTTTTTTTTTAATATGCATATTTTTGTACTACTAAACATACATAAAAGAATAAAAATTCTGAACGTTTTTTCTTTCAAAATCTTTATTATTTAAGTTTAAGAACAGTTGCCTTAAGAATTACTAATATTTAAGAGCTTGATCATGCAGGACTTATTGTGAAAGATCCAGCTCCTATATTTGAGTAAGATCCTGTCTTGTAAATAATCTACTTATAATTTTTGTGAAAATATTTTTTGTTTTTTAATTTCGAGTAAAATCCCAAAATCTGTCGAGTTTGTTAGCGAAAAGACCTGTCTGTTAACCTTTTTTTCTTTGAATGTTTTAAATCCAAAATTAATTTAGGAATCCGGTACTTTCAAAGAGGGACTTTTTTTTTCTGTGTGAAAATGCGGTCCTAATTTAATGAATAATATTAATATTATATCTATTAAAGAGTTGTGGTTTTAAAATCATGCAATAATGACCCTACGACTCCTTTTTTTCAAAAGGAAGAGATTTAGTAAATTTGAGAAGTGTCTGTTTTAATAATAAAAATATGTGAATGGTCTTTAATAGAGCCGAATTTCTCCTATAATTATCGTTGCTTAGATTTTCAATAATATTTAAATAGATGCATTTGTATTTTGTTTTCAAATATCTCAGATTTATAAATATTAAACTACTTACGTTCTAAAACAACAATTGTGTATAAATATTGATGGTTGATTGCATGCAATTTTTCATACAGAGCAAGTACGTCGGTATCTCAAAAAGAAATAACAAAAAAATTAATAAAAGAATAAGAGTAAATAAAAAAAATTAACTGCCCGATTAATTAATATTATTTATTGATTAGCATAAAATTAGCATTCATATTTATTGTATTAATTCCTTTTTTTTTTTAAATTTGAAAGTATCTATTTACTATGTATTTTTTAATAATAATTTCTAAAATAAACATTTAAAAAATGCAGCATGCAGTAAAAATTTCAGTTCCATTTATTAATTTATGATTTACCTCTGCTTCTTGGATAAAATTTACTGAAGATATATGAAATATGTTTTGTAATCAAGATAGATACATTTTTAGAATTCTTTGCCAAAAATGATGTTAAAAATTTATGCAAATTTAAGATCAAAGGAATGAGCAAGGGAATGTCAAAAACGCTGAGATATGGCGAATCACTATTGATGAAGGCGGGGTTAAACACTATATTATTTTCATTGAAACTTGAAAGTGTTTCTAAAGAACCGTCACTCAACAACTGTCAGTTTTCTTCCGGCTAACAAGCAGATTCTGTTGCTTTTTGTCTCACCGTTCTCGACAGTAAATTGTCAAGGGCTTTATGGTATTCTAGCTTAAATATTTATTTGCGTTTACTATTAGTCATATTTTTTACTTCATTTTTTACAGGAATTCTAAAAATATGTAATACGGATGGTGGTTACTGTACACCATGTATTATCAAATTCTTAATATTACAATTAGTTCTTTGCGTCTTACAACTTCGTAAAATCTTTTGCTTTTGGAGAGTTTCTGTGAAATTTTTCAGCTTCACGATTATTGAAATGAGTTGAATGTAATAAATGTAATGTTACCTCTAGGGCTCAGAAAATCACAAAATTTTCATCTACCCTGTCTGAAAAAAAAAGAAGAAAAAAACTATTGAAATCTTCTGAGGATAGCTTATTTTATTTTATTTGATTTTATTTTATTACCGTCGTTGAACAGCCGACCCGATTTTGGGTTTTAGACAACTAATGTTCAACTCCGCAGCTTTGTAATTTTGAACCAATTCAGAAGACAAGGAAACTCATTGATCAGTACCTCCAAAGGTATGATTTGTTAAGAAACATGGAGGACTTCGTGACTCGATAGATTTAATGTGTATCAGTCACAATTTACTACACGGGGAGTCTTCGGACTGCGGGGATCGAACCCACGACCCTTTGCCCAGCGCCCTACCTACCAGGCTGTCTCGACTCTGGATTTCATATTTGAAAAAAATCGAGCCCTGTTTGATTGAAAAAGGAATTTATTGAAAGCTGATTGGTATGTATGCACCCAGATTTCACCTGGCAATCAAACTGGTATTGATATTTTTTATTCCATGTTCCATTTTTTTACTAATGATTTGGCAGGTTTCGAAAGCGTTTTTCTGAAATGTATTCACATGCATGGACCAGGGGTCTTGAAAGTTAAGGTTCCACAATTTCGAGAGCAATTGCATGACAGTACTGTTTTTACTTCCCAGATAAGCTGGTACTCATTGTCCTAAAGCAGAGTGGGCTGCAAGCCACAACCGGCATTTGAACTCTAGTCCTCCGAAGCGTCAGCTTGGTGTCTTAACCACTGGACCATAGCAGCTCATTTTTATTTATTTCTAACTCAAATATTAATTTTTGGTCTTTAATATTCATAGAATTTTTTCTTCATTTTTGGCGAGGATTCTAAAAAAATAAATTAAAGGCTGCGATTTTGGAACCGTCTATATATATATTTAGCTTCTTTAATTTTTGACCCCTGTGATGTCATTATATTCAATGCATATTTTTTAGTTTTTAAATTTACCTTATTTTATAGATTTAATCAATCCTAATCCTAATCCTCTCATAAATCAGTTAATGTCTTTAATTTCCAACGAGCTTCTTTGCCTTATATCATGAGCCAAATTATTTAAATATTAACAGAAGATATAGTGAGGTTGGCTGAATTGGTTTTACTTTTGGCAGTGTCCTTTTTAAATAACAGTGGATCTCTACTGTACTCCAAAACTTTGATTAAATACTTTTAATTATTGGCGTATGATCAGGCAGGTTGTGGGATTTTATCTCCCATAGCCAATCTCTAATGATATTATTATGAAAAAGTTATTATTTTACTATTTAAGAAGTCTTTTGGATCAAATATTTTTTCTTTCATTTTTAATTTTGAGCTCTACAACTGACACTGAATAAAAGTTTTATTATGATTATTATCCTCCTTTGTCTACTTCAATGACACTAACTACTCCAACTGCTACACATTTTCCATTGCAACCCCCTTTATTTATTTGTAACAGTTCATATTACAACTTTCTATAATTCATATAGTATATAATAGTTAAATAAATCACTATTTTTAAAAAGGATATGTTAAGAAAGTAACAAAAGGCTTCATTTAAAGGGAAATAAAATTTTATCATTAATTTAGCAAGTGTTATATTATATTACAGAATTTGTAAGTGGATTAAAAATGCGCATGCGTCTCGCATTTCTGTCAACTAAACTCTTAGATAATAGATTTGTCAGCAATTTTTTTTATTCACATCAAACATGTTATTGTAGTTTTTCAAAGATAATTTGCAAATCTCAACATTTTTACACCTTTCATTCAAGCCGGTCTTTTACGCTATTGGTTTTTAATGAATGATTCGATGTGATTGGCTTCCATCTTGTTTCTTATCTTTATTGAAGTAAATAATATATCATAAATTTTTTGTTTGAATTGCATATGCTTAATTTTCTTGGAGCAAAATCTATTCAGAAATTTTGTTTAAACTGAAGAGACAGACTTATTGATTAGAGAAATTGACGAAAAATTGGTAATCAAAAGATAAAAGTCGATTTTGACGAGACTTTAAATTAAACCATACTGATAATTGCGTCTTATCTAACTACTTAAGTATAAGGAAACACTTTTGGGGGGGGGG